TAACTCCCGGGTTTGTGACCACTTTTTGGTTCATTTTTGGAGTCGTTTTCGGATTCATTTCAGTGGACATCACTTCAATATTTCGGGTATAAATGGTTTAAAGTTATTAGTATTAGTAGTATAGAATAATTAATTAATTAATATGTAAATGGCTAAATTAATAATTTGTGTCATTTTATTATAAAACAGTAAATACATTGAATAGTTTAGGATTTAAACATGACTAATAAACAATTCATAATACAAGGTAGTTTTATTTATTTGATAGGAATTTAGTATTTTTTTGATTATTAATTATAATTTATAATTTTATCATTAAATCTTAAAATAAAAATCTAATTATCTAAGATTATATTTAATTGTATGGTTAACCCAATAATCACACAAAATACAAACACTAATTTCATTGAATTATTTATAATTTTTTACATTTTTATCATTGAATAACAAATATGTAAATAACATTAGTACTATTTAAGTACTAATTAAGACTAGTACTATTACTAATTAGTAGTAAATATTATTAATTACTAATTGTCTTAATTACGTTAATTAGTATTGTAAATACAATTAAATATTAAATGTATTTATGGGTGGAAGTGGTGGTGATGTCTACCCGGCCCTCCACAACAGTACAGCCAAATGATCGAAATTAAAGTACGCGAAATGTCTGGACTCGTGGGTCACAAATGAGCCGAAATTGCGGCCAACAATACAGTGCCAATTGGGCGAGTATTTCATGTCAAACTCCTTCTTGACGTAAGCGGCGATATCCTTCTCGACCCCATACCTCACCATTGCCTGTAAGACCACGTTTTCCGCCTCCCTCTTCATGTCTTCCGACATATCTGTAGTCACTTTCATCACTGCCTTCTTGTCTCATTTGGTCGACATCTTCGCCGATCAACTGATCTCTTGTAGACAATTGAGAGTCAATTGACTCTTAAAAACAATTGAATTGATTTTTAGTGTCGAGGAAACTGTGAGTGAATGAGAAAAACGTGCGAAATATATGCCATTTATTATTAATCACACAAATCATAAATTATATTCAAAAAAATACATAATTAGTAATTACTAATGTAAATACTTAGATTGTAAGACTTAATGTAAATTCAATTACTAATTACATTGAATAATTTAGCTTTTAAAACTTGACTAATAAACAACTCACAATACTAGGTAGATGAATTTATTTGATTGGAGTTTAGTATTTTCAAGTACAATATTAGTTATAAAATTAAAATATAGTTTAATTTATTAATAAGTTATAATTTTTATCATAAAAATTAAAATCCAATTATCTAAAATTATATGTATAAAAAACACAAAATAGACTCGATGTTTTTTAACGTTAAAAATTGTTTTATTGAAATATATGATAATTAAAAGTTTACAGTTTATAACTTATACTTGTTTTCAAGTATAGAAAATTTAATACAATATACTGTATTACAGTTTGTAAACAAAATTAATTATAAAATAAATTGTAAAAGCTTATTTTAGCAAAGGGTGGTGGTGGGGAGTAA